ATCTGGGGGGGGGGGATAATATCGTTCGGCTTTTGTATAGCCTTTGAAGCGACCCGCTCTAGTAATTAGAGATTAATGATTTTGCTTTAACGTTGCCCGGGAAAAATATAGAAAAACGTCGAGCGTTAATGTTTTTAGGTTAGTACTCCGACAAAAACAGTAGAAAAAACCTAAATAAGTTACATTTTCTCAGTTAGATAGGAAGGACTAAAGTGTATGTGGCAATAATTCAAATAAAAGACGTATTGTATGCCATCAAACTACTTGAAGGTAGAATTCTAAATGTTTTATAAGTGAGACTTAAATACGACAATTTGTAAGAAGGAACAAAACAGCGTCGGTAGCGCAACAACGCCTATCAATCTAAGCTCGTCGCCAATGAAAAACTAAATCGTCTCTCCCGCCTAATTTAATAGGACAAGCGTAGTCATTAATACACACGTCAGTTCTCTGCCTCCGACAAAACGCGCCTCGTTTATATCTCGTCTACGGGAATGGGAATTATGGTAATCGTTTGAATCGTGTCCTTTGTCTGTAATGGCCGGTAATTACCGGAGCCACCTCCAGGGGGCGATACGTCTGCGGGGGCCCCGGGCCAGAGAATTCGACACTCGTTAACCGAGTCGTCTCAACTTTAAAAAGGGCACACGATTTGGAACTTCGCCTTGGGATTTGTCGAGTCGTTTCCGAAACCCCGTTCTGCCAGTCAATATACTAAGTTTTCAATTCAGATATTTAATACGTTTCTCTATTGATGTATCGTTTTATCTAAAGACCAGCTTTCCTATTAGGTATTAGGAGTTTCGCTTCATTTGTTTTTATATGCTTGCAGCCATGTGGTAGCTGACGTAAGACTATTCCCAAGGAACCGAAGCTCGCTTACTTATTGGCAGATAAAGGAATGTACTTCGGGTCATTTGCGGCCGAGCTCGATCGGATCTAACGTGATTTCTTACTACGAGCACACGGGGAGTTGCAATAGAACTACGCTTCACAGAAGTCGGACAGTGTAAATCAAGTAAGAAAGTACCGAAGTGGACTTCTAATAGAATTAATTCAAAGTCATCCGTTAACTTTAAATAATTTGTAAGAATTTTTATTTTAACTGATGCTTTGCTTTGCATTATTCACTACATAAAAAACGTTAAAGTTACTTATTTTTGTTTGATATGTAGATTTCAATTGTTTTCATAATAGTGTTCAGTATCTGTTTTCCAATATGGCGGCGCTTAACCAAACGTGCACATGACAGCGTGCGATTTACAGTCAAACTGTCAAACATATATCTCTTTTCCGTTTGTTTCATAACTTGAGACGTTGATGTACGAGGCTCGTCTGTGGATGATTCTAACTGCTACATCTGCGGCGCCGTCACCGACGATCTTAAACTCGTTACCCGCCTTCCAAGGCCAATTTCGGCAATTCTAAATCTACCCTATTTTTAATGGCGCTACAAACATTAATTTATCTTCATCAGGTGTGGATAACTCTGCTGTTGGGAATTTCGTTGCTTGGTGAATTGTAAAAATGTTTAGAAGGAAAATGTTTCAGTGATTAATGTTGGCTGTATCAACACACGAAGAAATTTAAGGCTGAGAGACATTTTTACTGATAGATTATACCTTTCGGAAGTTTTCGAGAAAATAAGTACATTACAGTATTAAGGGTAGAGATAAAATGCTATAGAGAACATGAGCTGAAGCAGTCAATTTATAAAATAAACATGGAGTCATGCAAACAGCAAGAGTCTGGAGTATAAACAAAGTTTAACATTTATAGGTCAAACAAATATATTACAATATTCATAAGTCATTCGAATTGAATTAATTATAAACGCAGAGCAACGTGCGAACACATTAAACTCACATCTCTAGAACCGATTCACGAAATTTCGATTTTAAATTTAGCACCGAAGTTGGTCTGTGAAATTCGAGCAATATTTATATGAGAGAGGAGCGCGACGATTTATAGTTAGAGAACAATCCAGAACTTGGTCGTTCCTTGTGACTCCATTTTAATTAGTGGCCATTCATCGAGGAACAATCGAGTCGCGGATGAATCCATTATGGAAACTTTTCGATGATCGAAAATGGCGCGTCTCGCATCGCATTGGGAACCTTTGGGGACGAAGAATCTCTTTGTCTTTTTCGCTTCGTTTGAAGTACCGTTCGTACGTTTTTTATAAGATAATGATTGCGATAGAATGTATTTCTTTATGAACACCGCGCAGCTAGAAAATGAGTGGGAATATAAAATGGAAGATACATTAAAGAACATTATAGTAAAGATCGGAATTTTCCTATAATGTTAGTCATACTTTAATATGCAACGAATTACTTTTAATACATTTTTTATAATCGAATATTTAAATGCAATTGTATAAACATAAATTATGACGAAGTCAATATAGTAATGAGACTGTTTTAATATTCAAATGATTCTATTAGTATTTTTTACTCTTTATTTTAATAACATTAAAATTATGAGCAATTTATATACTTCAAATTTCTAAAATTAAAATTTCCCCTTTGAGTTGCCTCGCGTACAAACGAGCTACACAGCGTCCATTGCCGGCAGCTTAGCGCTGATCCAATTTACTTCCGTACAAAGAATCAAAAGCATTTCATTCGCACCTCAATGAGCGTGTATTTGAATACAGAGCTCATCAATCACTGCTAGACATTAGCAGATAAGGTATCCGGCTCGAAGGACCTCCGATTAAAATTCGTAGTATCATTATCATTATGCAGACCCGTTTGACTCGCGTCTATAGATAAGGCGCGCCGCAAGGAATCCCTTTAATGTCCTCCCAATTCTTCGATAATGCTCTACGTATTCCTAAACTAGCAGGAAATTACCACCGGCCATCGCTACGGTTGGGATAACTTGAGGAATATAGAAATTCAGTTGCTTTTATAACTTTATATAAAGATTTTATTTTTTATAACAGTTTTAATGAAAAGAACAAACATTTATCAACGTCGTAAGGCTGTTGTAAATTAAACCGCTAATTACTAGTTTGAACCGTTGCTATTAAGGAAGGCAGCAATATTCGACGCTATCAACTAGAACGGTATACAATGAATAAACATACAATTAGCGGTGAGTATAAATCTATGGAGGCCGCAATGTATCATGTCACGTAGCAACCGCTTGCCACGCCGATAAGATTACCAGACAAAGGAAGTCCACCCATATCACTACCACCAAGACCGCTAAATGCGAGCCTTCATTTACCACCCGCCTAACACAAAGGGCGAAATTCAATTTAAATTCCTTTATAATAGAGTCCACTTTGGCCCCAAAGTTACACATTAGCGTCGTAACGTCAACGTCTAGTTCGTTAAAGGACACTCAGCTTTATTTATGTCGACTTACTGGCAACGTTACCGTATTTGTTGTTGCGATTTCTCTTGCTACAGAAGCGATTTGGACTCTCCGATTTAGGTAATAGAGTTTAAATTAGTTCGTAGCTAAGGTTCTTTGATTTGATGCGACAAAGGAATTAAAACGTTGTGCAGTTTGTTTGAGAGTATATTTTTAAATGAAGGTGAAGAGCAATCTACTGGTTGGTTTCCGGGCACGATAAGGAGTCGATGTGGTCTAAGTCGGTGGGACACGCGACCTGGACTAATTTATGTTGTGGCGATCCGAGATACAGCAGTGGTCGGCACGAGGTAGTCTCACTTTTATGGGCAGTTATGTTAATCAACTGTCTGGGGAAGCATGAACTGTCAAATATTAGCATAACCTTCGCATACAACTCGCCCTGCACGTGGATTTATATTTCGTATTTTAAATCGCTTCGTCTAAAGATACATTTGAGGTTACTTTACAATACCAGAACAAAAAAATGTTTATTTATTTACGAGAACTATGCTTATTT